TAGCTAGTAGTTTGTAGTTAGTAGTTGGTAGTTGGTGGTTGGTGGTAGTAGTAGTAGTCGTAGTAGTAGTAGTAGTAGTAGTCGTAGTAGTAGTAGTAGTAGTAGTAGTAGTAGTGGTAGCAGTGGTAGTAGTGGTGGTAGTGGTAGTATGCAATTGGTTCTGCTAACAGTCGCAACGCAACTATGCCAGAAAAAACGTTGCAACGATACAACAGGCCGGTTGCAGCCGCCGTTTTGTTGATTGGTATGTATGGCCTGGTTTATTCGCCGAGGGCATTAGAAAGCAGCTTAGCATATGCGAACCCATTGCGCATTGTCAGGATACACAGGCTCCATTGTGGACGCAGCGTGCTCCCGGGCGGAAGATGAGCAGCGCATCCGTGAAGAGATCGGAGATCAAATTGGGGCTGTGGATTACGCCATTGAGGCGCAATTTAGCAATTCAATTGCCACGTCCGTAAGCTCTGAAGCCTGCCTTGGGTATTGCAATAAATAAACAAGCTTCTCCAAGGATGCCTCCCCTCACAGCCCGCCTTCAGGCCAAGTGTCGGCTTAAAGGCAAGCTCAGCTGTGTTCACACCATAAATGAACTGAACGTCTTTTCCGGAAAGCAGAGAACATGTGCTGCATCCGCATTTCGGGGAGAAGCCCTTGTGGCAGTTTTCGAACTCGGGAGTCCATGTCGAGACTTGAGCACTTGAGAAAAGTTGTCGTCCTCCAGGTGCTTATGTCAGCGGGCATGTCAACCCCCACTTTGCGGGAGATTGCTTCCAAGGGCGTCAGCATCCAACAGGCTGCCAATCCGGCACTTGCTTTGCCGATGCTGATGTTCGGACCTTTCCTGGCCATAACAGCCTTTACGCTCGTGTTGGATGCCGTTTATTTGGACAGTTTTTGGACTTGGAGGCTGGTTCCACTGAGAACCTTAACCTGTTTGGAGCGTATCTTGATGATAATCTTGATCCGGCAGTCGCCCCGAGACGAGCGGTGTTTTGATTACCTGGTGATACAGAAGTGTGCGGTGGTCTACCTTGCAGTCTTCACGCCTTCGATGTTTCAATGCGAGATGATTGGGAAACTGTCCTACCAGAAAGACAGCATGTGGTTTGTGATCCCACCGGTGGCCTACACAACGATGTTTATTTTCGTACTGCTCGGTTTCAGACGTACTGCAAATCTTCCCTGTGGACTCGGCCCGTGCCTAGTTCAACTTTTCCTGGCTCGGGACCCATGCGTTCAGCTAGCGGCTGCAGGCCACTGCATACGGCGCAAAAACACTGCCGCTGAGAGCCCACAGAGCTCAGACTCCGAGTCCGGCACATGGAGCGGCGCCTGAGTCTCCATGCGCTGACTGACACTGCTCCCGGCGCGAACTTCATACAAAAAGAGAGATGAAACAGGCGTTTGGTTCAATATGTAAAGTCATCATGCAGGATTTCCAGAAATACTTACCGGCATCCGCAGACGACCTTGAGCCCATCGAAGATGATCCACTTCTTGATACTGTGACAGTGAGAAGGAACAGACGTAATAAGCAAAACGAGGAACAGGACCAGATGCGGCATTTCTGCGAAATGTCCGGATTCATGAGGACTTACAACATGATTGTAAAGGAGACTCCCCACGTCCAAACCAACCAACTCACACAGTCGAGTGATGCCGAGTGCGTGTGCCATGGGAGATGCAAATGGCGCTGTCCACTGACGAGCGGCCTGCCAGACATCAACGGTCGCAGAAGTATTGGAGGTCAATTTAGAAGAGACGATAATAAGGATCGCATCAGCAACGTTTCAGTAGTAATTCGTGTACATGATGTTGGTTTGTGCTTGTGGCGATTTCGCCATCATAGTCATGGTCTTCCCTACTGCTCAGTGCTCAAGTTCAAGGCATGAACACGAATCGAAAGAGTCAATTATCCGCACGATAGCAACTCGTTGTGTGATGAAGATGATGATAAAGACAACGACAATTAGTAGGTTTAATAGTAATGACAACCATGATGATGATGACGACGATGATCATGATGATGATAACGATGATCATGATGATGATGATGATGAAAGTAACACTTCTTCCTGGGCTGCGTTGAACATGTTTCGATGCCCAATAAGCTGAATTGAAGCAGCTTTCGCTGGAATGAGATTGACAACAACTCTATAGCAAGCTCGGGCCCTCAAGCTTTTGAAGCATACGATTCATGCTAAAAGCAGGATACTCGTTGCACGCACCTCCTCCACGTTTGGGCACACCCCATAGCCCTGAAACATTTTTTCAACCATCTAGATCGAAGCGAGACTTCCTACGACATCACCATGGGGTTGGGATCAAGCGAGCATCCACTGTGGTCCGATGCTACAGTCATGTTGTGGAGAGCCACCGGATTTTAAGGGATGCCTGACCTAGGCCAACCCTTCTGAGCACTAAGGTCCACATGGCCCTACGAGGTGGACGATGGTGCCCTCCAGCAAGAAATAGATGGTTCTGTGGTCCTTCGCATGGATCGCATGTGCCAGAAGCCCTTTACGCCAGACTCCCATCTAAGAGACAATCTAATACCCAAGGACCATGACCATCTGCCTTTACTCTACTCATAGGAACCCCATGGTAGCACACTGTTTCGGGAAGGAAAAGGAAGGTAGAGGCTCTACCTTGCTTTCTCATTGCTTCGACTCTTTGGTTCTGAAGTGTATCCAAAACTGGTGTGGTGTTCAGACGTTGATGTTCGCTCCGGGTTTGCAGATCCAGGTGACCTACATCTCCAGCTTACGGGCTCGCACACGTGAAAGCGCGCACTCTTTGTCCGCTTGACACAGATTGGCAACTTTCGAAGAGCATTTTTGTAACCGCCTTGAGACCTAAGCGCCTCCCCCAGTTCTGCATGCCGCTAGTTCAGCAAGCCCGAGCCCAGCCAGAGCGTCCGCAGAAGTGACCGAGGATCACTTCGAAACCTCCGCGGAAGCATACCATGACATTCTACCGCTCCTCCGCTGCTGTGAGGAAATCTTGTTTTTTGGAATCGGCATGCAGTGTCTGAGAGGGTGCTTCTAGTTAGGGATGCCAGCTGCGAATGTACTCGGTACATAGATGAATTGTAGAAGGGCCTCACATCTGCAGATGGCAACCGGACAGAATCCTCCGCCCTGAGCTTCTGCTATACCCTAGATGCCCTCACCCTCAGGCCCCCTCGAAGGCAGTTTGAAAAGAGGGTAACCCTGCAGTTCCTGTAGACTCCTTCCAAGGCTGCTTCGCTGTGCCGCAAGGCTCCGCAGCCTGTCCGCAGAGGATCTGAAGGCCGTTGAAAGAACGTCGGGTTGAGCGCGTTCAAAGCTAATATGTCAGCAAACCTAGCTGCCAGCACCAAGCCCTGGTTCATTCAATTACTCGACATTGCCTTATGAACTTCAGGAGTAACAGGCTTTGCCATTCTTGACGGGTTCATGTGGCTCAGCTTCTGGCATTGGCCACGTACGCCCCGACTGCATGCCTGCATGGCGTCGCCGCAGATCTACGACCCGTACTACTGCAGTGGCCGCGCAAAGCGATTGCTACAGGCCTCGAGTGATGTTGGGGCTGAAGGGGATTGGTCGGCCTCCAAATGTGTGGGTTCATGTTATGTAAAACAAGGTGGCAAGGATGCTACCTGTAGTGGAAACTAGCTTGTTGAGACCCAAAGTCCAAACTTCTGATTTTCTCGAGTTTTGGACAAGTTGGAAACTGTGGTGTAGTTTTGCTTCGAGATGGGGGGAAGCGCTGTTGCAGGATTTTCAGTGTTTGTGTTTGTCTCTGTGTGTGTGTTCACAACCAGCAAACGGGTTTTGCAGTGCGAGATAGAGATTTGGGAGGTGAGTTTCCGATATGTGGCATGCGCTTGGGATCTCAGAGCCTGCGCAGAGGATGTTGCAGCTCAGATTTGCCGGTTCTACGATGTTGGGCTGAGGTGGATCGAATCTGTAGTTCAGTGTCACCGCTCCCTTCTGTTTGGGCTTTGCGGAATCCATTCCAGGTTCAACAATTAGTGACAATTAGAGGCAATCAAATTCCATTCCTACTCGTAGCAAAACAGCCACGTTGCCAAAGTCCCGCCATCAGAAATTCAAGTTTAGAGGTCGGATTAGCATGGTTGGACGCCCAAGCACGAAACCCTGAGCTCAGGCCTGGTCAAGTAACGTCATGTGGACGGCCTCACAAGCACTGTCGTAGACTTGGGTTCAAAACTCCGCAAAGCGCCATCAAACTATCCGGAATGCTTGGATCCAAAGCTACAAATCCTTTAAAACCTCAGCCCGAAACGTTTAAGTTCCCAAGTTCTTCTTGCCAAGTGCATTGCAAGGAGTTGGGCTTCCATCGCGTGGCACATCGGCGTAGGGATTTCTACGCAGATATCGCTGCAGGTCGGCATTCGAGACTTTTAGATGTGCCGTTCTAAATGGGAGGCTTCGCAGCGTGCGCCTTGAAAGGGAACAAAATTTCGGAATTCGGAAGGCCGTCTAGGTTGACTCGGGTTCGAGATATAGTTAAGACCACATGATTAGTAGGAGCAATGGACACGCGTGTTGTAAAGTTGCATCGGTATTTGCCAGAAGCCCATTGCTGTCCAGGGCGGCTCCCACATTTTGCTGGGGCAGTATGTCAAGGTGTCATGTTCAGAGTCCAGTTTTAGGGATTCGACATGCCCCGATGAAGTAGCTGCGACTGATTCACCGAGCCACAACTGAAAGCCAACTTTCGCAGGACCAGTAGCAGGCCAGGATCACGGGACGGGAGGCCCCTTCCAAGACTTTTGCTTTCAAAGCCGGTCAGGCAAGATTCCCTCCTTCCACGCGAGCAGCTTACGAAGTGACTTGCGGCTGCACCGACCTGGCCACATGACATGCCTCTGCCGAGAGTTAGTTGCCTTAATTGCAGAGACTCCGAGGGCCACGGGAGGGGGCCCAGGCCAGCACACCTCAGGTTCTGGTCACCAACCCTCCTTACAGTGCTGACCACAAGGTGCGCGCAGCTGGCGTAGGGCTGCACAGTGCTCTTGCTGGGAGTTTGACTTTGAGATGTGTTGCACTGCAGCGCAGCAAAGTTTTTTTCAGCTTTCCTTGTTGCAAACAGAAGCGATTCGTGAAACGGCTGCCAGTTGACAGAGTCCGCAGCCAAACCGAGTCTCGGACACTCGAGACTTCATGTCTGTAGTACCAGTGCACTGTTCCCTGCAGTCGTTTGCAACTAGTGGTACAAAACGATATCACCCTGTTTGCAGGGGACTTAGGCTTCGCAGAATTTGTGTGTTCATTCATGCATGAGAGTTGGGGCTACGTGGCTGCACAGCTGCCTTGCATGAATTTCTCGTGAGCCTTCCGGCCAGGACCAGTCACAGCTCAGAGATCTCTGAGAAAGTTACAATCACAAGAGTGTGCGCACACACACACACAGAGACAGAGACAGTCAGCATATGGCTGCACGAATCGCAGCTTACCTGTGGCCAGCCTCATTCTCATGTACACCTTGCGGCAGGAGCAGCGCTCGTCACATGATTGGCCCCTATGCTTAGGGTACACTGCGTCGGCACTAATACACAGCAGAGATGCATCTTGCTTCGAGGCTCCCGGTTTTGCATGCAGACTTGATGTTTCGACTGTGGATTACGGGCGTATTCCAAGGGAGCTCAAGCGACGTAAGAATGTCAAGGGTGCATTCCGCCGCCTTGTCTCTGCATGGCCGCTCTGCCCGATGCAAAGCATGCTTCTCGGATCTGTTGGGCCACTGGGTAAGAAAGTCAGCATGCAGAGAATTGGCTCTTGAGTTTCCGTTAAACTCCCAGGACCACACTTCAGTGCAAGCCCAGCCTCGTCTCGAACAGTCTATAGACTTCAGATCAGGCTCGACGGCCCTCCTTTCGGCATGTGAGCTTGGCGGTCTGCAGTTGAAGCATTGGGTGCAGAGCGCTCGTTGCGATGATAGAACTATGTTGCGGAAGACGGCTCCCGATGCATCCGACACGTCCACAGCCAATACGATGACCTGAATCAGAGCCCATACGTCAAGTCTGCATGCTTTTAAGCTTTCAAACCCATATCTGCTAAATTCAGCCAAGCCCAAATACAATGGCCGCAACCCGCAGAGGCTAGCCTCAAGGCTCAAGCCAGAATCGAGACGTTTGTCTGAGGTGGTCTTTGTCGCCCTGGGTTCCCGCGGAGACGCCCAGCCTTTGGCCGTGCTGGCAGGGAGATGTGGGCAGGGGTTGGGGCCCGGTTGTAGGGCTTCAGGGCCGAGGACCGTCTAGCAAGTGCTTCCTCTTCCAGGCATTATGGGGAGCCCTGCGGCTGTGCGTTTTCTGTTTTGGACCATGGACTTCGAGCAAACGCGAGATCACCCAAGTTGCTCAGTTCAGTTCCCTGTGGAAAACGGCCGGCCCTTGTAATACCTTGCGGCTTGTTGGACGGACCGCGTGTGAATTCCGAGATGCGAGTTTTGGTCAAGATGTTCGGGCACGTAACTCCGTGGCCCGAAATATCCTAAATATGAATGCTAAAAGACACTTAGACTTGGGCTTGTCGACTGCGCTTGCCGGAGCAAGCAAGAGCGAGACCATACACCTCTGCTTGTGCAGGGACACTGCGGCTGGAGTAGCACTACCATGCACAGTCATCATAGTGGTGTTAAGGAGCAGCGTTCTGACATCCATGCATCTCATCGCTCTGACTCTTGTCCTCATTTTTCTTCGTGTCATGCTAGGCAATGTCGTCGTGATCCTCCCCGTTGCAGAGATCCTCCTCTTGGTCATCATCATCATCATCATCAGCACCACCACCAGCATCAGCAACTCCATCATCAGCATCCTTTTGTGTTGACCGTCATGACTCTCACAATGCCTGGCAGAGCGCTGAAAGACCATTTACAACGCTTGGCAGGCTTCCGCCGTTGCAGAGCGAGGCCTGCGAGTGTCCTTTGCCACCCACGCAGAGCTCAAAGGCGCGCTGCGTAATCGCGTGGGGTTCGTGTTCGCAAGTTTTGGGGACAGAGCTTCGGCTGGCTAGTTTTGTCCAGGCGTTGAGTGGTTTAAGGCTTTGCTAGCAGCTGCAAGGCTTGCCGAAATCAAGGTGCCCCTTGTGCATGCCAAGCAGTTCGGACCATGTGAAGCATCAGTAACCGCCAAGCATGGCGAGTACAGGCGGAGTGCGACATCTTTCAGGGTGTCGTGTCTGCTTGAGGGGGCGCCGATGTGTGATGAGTTTACGTAGCACCAGATGTCACATATCATCTTGAGTGATGCGTGTTTGCGTGCGCGTGTGTCCGTGCCCGTGCGTGTGCCCGTGCCCGTGTCCGTGTGTGTTTATGTTTGTGTGTGTGTGTGTGGGTGGGTGTGTATGTGTGTCAATGACGGCAGGCTGTACAGTGCTATACATACAATGTGGCGCATGCGTCGATAGTGAACAACCGCCGAATCCAGCCCGATCTTGGAAGTCCTTGTTTCGAAGAAGAGTCGAGTTCGTTGCGTTGATAGATGAATCCGATCGAAAAAGTTCTGCGAGCAAGAAGCAAAGACCCAAGTCACATCATTGAAACACATGGCAAAACATATGTCCTGTCGTCGATCCATCTATCATCCCTTCAGCACCTTCAAGCTTTACGTGCCACGCGGCTCGAAGCCTTCAAACTTCACACCGAAAAACCCAAAAGCCCAAGCCCTGAAGCTCAATGCCGGCGATCCCCTGGTTTTCCCTTGGAACGAAAGCATGCGGTTCAACGATGTTTTCGGCATGCGGCATGCCGGTTTTGTCGGATCATTAAAAATCGGTATCCACAGGGCAATCGAGGTGCCCGTCAGTCAACCTACATACAGAGATGATTGGGGAATTCTTGTGAAAACAAAAAGCACGACTGCATCAGCCGAGAGGTGGTCCAGCGAGACTTAGAGAGGGTTACAGTCTGTGTGACCGCTTGTCTGCAGTCAATACAGACATGTGTAGCGCTGTGAGTCGCCACGCTCCAACCGCAGCGGTTCAGGCCATCTCCAGCACTCGAGAGAGGCCACCGCAATTCAGAGTCTCAAAGTTCAAGCTTCAAAGATTCCGTATGCATGGTTGGGGCTCTGAGCAGTTTGGGTGCATTCTAACGGGATCTGTTTCCGGCGAGCACGAACTTGCCCTGGAGGCAGGCAAGTTTCAAAAGGTCTTGTGGATGGTTCCGCATCTTCAAAAGTAGGCTGTATGTGTTCAGGTTCAGATGGCTGGCAGCATAGAGGGAGGATTCCGTCTCGGAGCTGCGAGCCGCCAGTGATTAAAGGTTCTCAAGGTCCACAACAGCTTGCAAGACCGCGGGTGGGTATCAAGCAAATAGAGCGTTTTGCAGTCGAGCTAAAGATATGCACACAGTGCATGGTTGTCACAGGCCGATACGGTATGCGGTATTCAGTTGTCAGGTTTGGTACTACTTCCGACAAGGTACGTTATCCTTTTCCGGCGGACCCCTAGCCCTAGCACCTCCCCCCGACCACATCCATGCGCACCCCCCCTACATTTGCACACGTTCCAACCTGCATGCGACACTCCGCTTGCTCCTCGTGCGGATTGTGCTGCGCTGGCCGTCGGCCACTGTCAACTTCTGGAAGTCCGAAGCGGACACAGGATGAATTTCCACAGGGGGCCTCACCTTTGGGATGGCCTCGACACTCGAAAGCTTTGTGACAAGGCTTTGTGGAATTGGCAAAGCCACTGCGGGCTCTGCGGCCGGTTGTGATGAGAGACGGCATGAGACTGTGCTCTTCCCATGATCACTTGGCAAGCGGTGGGAAAAGAATACTTGCTCGGGCTCGGACGCGGTGGGCGACTACATGCCTCGCACTACCACCGTGCAGCCTGCAGAAGGCCGCCTGAGCCGCTGGCACAGACCGGATACCGTTATACACCCCTGCACCTCCCCCTGCACCCCAACTGCATGCATCTCTCTCCGACTAAAGCAAACACGCGCACACACACACACATACACACATACACACATACACACATACACACATACACACATACATACATACATACATACATACATACATACATACATATACATATATACCTGGAAAACCCTTGGGGGCCAGAATTTCAGCCACATCCGGGAAAAGGGGTTTCTTCTTGAGGTGAGGCGGTTTTACGCGGGCCACGGCGGGAATGCACATTCGGAGGCTGATTTGTCCAAATCAGTGTTTGCAGCTGTTTCCGGATCACTTTGCGAGCCCCGACGGCTTTGAGAGGTGCGACCCCCTCCATTTGCACCAGTTTGCACCAGTTTGCACTGAGTTGCATTGCAAGATGGGTGCTGTTCGGTTGAGCTGAAATCAAGAGTGTTGGGCTCAAGCTTCAAGGAGGTTGCTGAGCTCATGGAGCTTCCTTCGGGGGCTTTCGAGACCTTGAAGTCTCAAGGACAATTCTGAATGCATGGCCATGTGCAAATGCATTCTGCTTCCCTTTTGCATTTTGTGCACTAGGACTTCACGAGATGCCGTTGCCTTGGTTCCACCAGGTGCAGTGTGTCCTGTGGCCGGACAGGGGCAGCCCTCATGCCGCCCCCATGCACTAGACAACATTGCTGCTCCCTAAACTTTGCCCTAAACCCTATACCCTAAATAACCCTAAACCGTACTAGCCGCACCAGCTCGATACTGTTGAGGACGTTCTCACGAGTGAGGAGGTGTCAGTGATCTGCGAAAACTTCCGGAAGGGCGGTTCGGTGCGAGAGTTGGCGAAGAAGTTCTGGGAAGCCCAAGCAGCAATCAGACCCTGGACTTCCATTCATTGGGTACTTCGTTTGTGGGTTCAGCTTCACTCTTGAGATGAGCACTGTACTTAGGAATGGAAGGAGAACTCCAGACTCCGGAGAAGGTGAAGCCCGAGGGCTAGGGCAGCTGGGAAAGGCTGTTGTGCTGATCAGGATCGTTAAGAACCTGCAAACCCAGCTGCAAGACAAGTAGGAGCTCCTAGGACCTAGGATCCGATCAGCCAGAAATGCTCTAGCTGTGGCAGCTGTGGACTCCGAGAATGAAAGCCCGGCCAAAAAGAACCGATTCCAATCAATTCGTTCTTCGAGCTTTCTTATGGCATTTTGCCTGGACTCTTTCTGTTCGCAGGCTCCCGCGATGTGGCGATGGTTTCCTCCTTTGTGCATTTAGACGGGTGGGGAACTGAGCATACAGAATCCCGAGACTCTGTGGGTTGATAGGTTCTTTCTGGTGGGTTTTTGCAGTTGTTGTCGCCCAGGTGGGCTGCGATTCGACGCCAGAGAGACCAGCAAGTGCCCCGCATGCACCCGCCCCTCTGTGCTCTTGTGCAGGGTATGAATTCCGATGTTTGAGGGAGGGTTGGGTTTCAGATTTGGCAAGCTCATTACACCCATCTGCGCTCTTATGCAGGGTATGTATTCCGAGGTGAGGTTTAAGGAAAGGGTTGGGTTTGAGATTTCGCTAGCCCAACCCTAAACCCCTAAACCCTAAACCCTACAAGTGGGGGGGTTGGGTTTGAGATTTGGCTAGCTCAACTCTAAACCCCTAAACTTGTGGGGGGGTTGGGTTTGAGATTTGGCTAGCTGATAATCTAAACCCCTAAACCCTAAACCCTACAAGTGGGGGGGTGGGGTTTGAGGTTTGGCTAGCTCAACTCTAAACCCCTAAACCCAAAACCCTACAAGTGCAGGTGGGGCTTGCTAGCTCAACTCTAAACCCCTAAACCCTGAACCCTAGACCCTCAACAGACTCTAAACCCTACGGTAAACCCTAGACCCTAAACCCTGCTGCATTGTGCATGAAACAGACTCGGCAGGCTTTTTTCTGCTAAAGCAGAGTTAGGATTGTTTCGTCATGGCCGAAGAGCCGTCCACGCCGCCTCCGAAGAAAGGTCGGAGGAGGAGGGTTGCTGATCTTTCGGGGTTAGCCAGTGCCTGGGAGGCTGACAAGGATGTGAGAAAGGGGGCGAGGAAGAGGAAGAGTTTGCTTCAGTGGAAGGATCCTACCAAGGTTGGTCTCATAGGCTTCAACAGCATAAAGGACAACTGGAAGGTGATTCTGCATTTGATCAGCATTTACTGCCCCGACTCGCCGCCGTCCAAGACAGTCCCAGTTGATGATGTCAAGCCCGAAGTTGCTTGGGTGCACAGACTGATGTTGCTCTTTGCTGATTGAGGGGAAGTACTGCCATTGAACATTGCAGCATCCTGAATCCTCAAGCTTTTCTAGGTTGAGAAGTTCTACGAGGACATCTACGTGACCCCGAAATCGGGCCTGGTTCACTGTGAGAGCCATTCGCTGAAGATGTTCATTACCTTTTTGAACCGCCGGCATGATGGCAGCTCTCGCAAGGATTCTTTTCTGCATTGTACAGAACTGAATGTAGCTATGGTGCACTAGACCCGAACCTAAGTCGACTTATCCCTTCTCAGGACAATCGCCTCCGAGCCCTCTTCGACGAGCTCGCGAAGCACTGGCCGCCTAAGCCCCGTAGCAAGAGATCTTTGGTGTCAGGTGAGGATCAAGAGGAAGAAGATTATGTGGAGGCATATGTTTGGGTTTGGCTTGTCGGGTGAGGAAGTCAAGTGTTGAAAGGGTTTTCAAGTGTTTAGGTTTAGGTAAAGGGTTTAGGGTGGGGGGTTGGGGAGAGCTTGGGATTCGCTTATCTTATTGAACCCTAAGCCCTAAACCCGAAACCTAACCCTAACCCTAAACCCTAACCTTAAACCCTAACCCTACATCCTAAACCCTACCCCTAAACCCTAACCCTGGACCCTTAAACCCTAACCCTAAACCTTAAACCCCACCCCTAAACCCTGCCCCTAAACCCTAGCCCTGAACCTTAACCCTAAACCCTAAACCCTACCCCTGAACCCTAACCCTAAACTCTAAACCCTGACCTTAAACCCTAACCCTAAACCTTAAACCCTACCCCAAGACCCTGACCTGGGGAAAGGGTTTTGGATTCTGGAAAAGGATGGGGAGCTCAGCGAGATTTCGATAGGGCCAGGGCTGGAGGGAATGTTCACGCACAGGGTGTCCGGGTCTAGATTATAAAGGTCCTTGGGGGTTGGGACTTGGGTTCAGGAGGATGAGGAAGAGCCCGAGAACATGACAGAGCCGGAGGATGATGAGGACCGGCTGCAGCCGGTCGATCCCTATCTGGCTGAGGACTTGGGTGTCAACTCACCCGAACCTGCATCTGCTTATGTTGGCACTGTTGCTTATGACCTGAATGAAGAGAAGGGTTTGCCTGAGCCCTCCAGACTTTCAGCTCCGCATAACGAGCCAAGCAGCTCTTCGAACCCCCAAGCCGACTTGTTGAAAGAACTGGCTGAGATTGAGCACCGTGTCTTACATTCAGTGAATAGGTTGCTGCCTTTTATCCATGATCCCTAAACCCTAAACCCGAAACCCTAAACCCTAAACCCTAAACACAGCGAGTTAAGCCACGCAGCCGAGGCAACGATTGGCCCGTCGCAGAGCTGCCTTGAACGGTCAGCTGACTGTGCAGCGATGGAAGAGTGTCTCAGTTGCAGAATGTCGGCGATATTTAGTCCTGTCATGCTTCGTGTCATATCTAGATTGCCAGGACTGCAGCACTGATTACAATCAGCTTAGGTGTTGCTCATATGGACACTCAGCAGACCATAGAATGGCATCAGCATCTGGACCGGGGTTCCGATTTCGGGGAAAGCCCCAGTATGCAGCATGAGCAGCCTGACACCGAAGATGTGAAGTCGGGGTTGCAGAGACAGAATGCAGCCAGCCGCTTGTCGGTCGCCGAGAACGCAGGGGCCATTGCCTCAGATGAGGCCCGAGCCCCTGTGAAAGTCGAGGAGGCCGAAAGCCCTGAACCCCTGAAGGATCTTCCAGACCTCGCCAAGGCTTCCCCCAATGAGGCCGAAAACCCTGAACCCATGAAGGATCTTCCAGACTACCCCAAGGCTTCCTCTGACCAGCACGCCAAAGCCAAAAGCCCTGAACCCGTGAAGGATCTAGACCTCGCCAAGGCTTCCTCTGACCAGCACGCCGAAGCAAGCCCTGAACCTGTGAAGGATCTTGACCTCGCCAAGGCTTCCCCTAATGTATCGACAGGAAGCCCCAGGATGTCTGCTCCCGGAGAAGCCGGCTCGCCTCAGCTTCTGGACTGCCAGGTGGGGCTTGGTCCTTTTATCTTATGCCCGACCCTATCCCTAAACCCTAACCTTAAACCCTAACCCTAAACCCTAAACCCTAACCCTAAACCCAAAACCCTAACCTTAAACCCTAACCCTAAACCCTAAACCCTACATACTTTGTCTTTTAGTACAGTCGACTAGGTTGGCACATCGAGGAGGGTACAGCTGCAGCTTAAGGAGGAATCTTAAACCCTAAACACTAAACCCTAACCTTGAACCCTAACCCTAAACCCTACCCCTAAACCCTAACCCTAAACCCTAACCTTAAACCCTAACCCTAAACCCTAAACACTACATAGTTTGTCTCATGGTACAATCGACCAGGTGGCCACATCGAGGCACTTACAGCTGCAGCTTAAGGAGGAACTCGCAGGAACCAAAGGTGGAACAGCTAAAGCCAAAGCCAAATCGAAGGCGAAAGCAGCACCGAAGTGCAAATCCAAAGCCAAGTCGGCACCAGTGCCGAAGGGCAAGGCAAAAAGCAAGGCGAAAGCCAAGCCGAAAGGCAAGTCGATGCAAGAGGATGACCAAGCCGATGAGAGCAAGAAGCGACCCCACGCAGATGATGCCGACCTTCCTGGTCCAAGCAAAAGAAGCAAACCCTCGGAGGAGCCCAAGAAGAAAGGAAAGCAGGCAGCCGAGAGCCCCGAGAAAGAGAATAACCTCAAGAAGCCCACGAATGCTGAGTCCAAGAAGAGAGGAAAGCAGGCAGCCGAGAACCAGGATGCCGAGAAAGAGAATAAACCCAAGAAGCCGAGGAATGCTGAGTCCAAGAAGAGAGGAAAGCAGGCAGCCGAGAACCAGGATGCCGAGAAAGAGAATAAACCCAAGAAGCCCACGAATGCTGAGTCCAAGAAGAAAGGAAAGCAAGATGCAGCCCCGCACGATGCTGAGAAGCCGGCGAAAGCTGTCAAGGACAAAGGGAAAGTGAGGAGCGAACGAGCCCACGAAGATCGACGCACTTTTGCACGACGATGGCAGCCAGACAACGAGCCCAGCCGCTCGATTTGGGAAGCGATCAAGATTTGCTACGACAAGAATATTTACGGGAAGGTCTACAAACCTGGCAGTTTGGAGGACTGCTGTCCCTAAACCGTAAACCCTAAACCCTAAACCCTAACCTTAAACCCTAACCCTAAACCCTGAACCCTGAACCCTAAAACCCTAACCTTAAACCCTAACCCTAAACCCTAAACCCTACATACAGCAGTAGAATGGTTGCAGGAGCATCAGCAGCAGCAGCTATAGTCGTATGCCGTTTATTTAAAAGCAGAAATAGGAGTAGTGGTAGCAGGGTGTACAAATAGCCATGGAGCCTAGGGGAGCTCAGGCCATTCACTTCGGGTTGATGGGCTTTAGGACTTTAGGGTGTGCGGCTATGTTTTGTTGTGTTTCAGAAACCAGGAACCTCATAACTTCCTAAATCTATGCTACAACCAGCCTGCCTGTGCAGTACCCCTTCTACACCCTGTGTCGTCCTCGACTCTTGGAAGCCGAGCCTGACAACTTCACCTCCATCGCCCATGCCTGTGCTATGGAATGGCTGAAAGACCCTGGAAACCAGGGAGCCCCGACTACAATTGCCGAGCTGTTCGTGTGAGTACTCTAAACCCTAAACCCACCCTGAACCCTAAACCGTGGCTCAGGCTATCTTCGCTGAGTATGGCAAGGAGCATTCCACATCGTCCTGGCCGAAGTGTCCTGTCAACAAAAGACTCTAAAGCATTTCGATTTCGGGCAACTGACAAAACACGATGGCGACTATAAAAGTAGCTCCTCTCAGGTTATCCTCATTCAATATGACTCTGGCCGTGCTGTGGCATGGCTCTGTGCTGACAACAGAAGTGACCCGACTGAAACGAGTGCTCTGACCATTTGCTAAGACAACGATCACACACAATGGCTCCTCAACGAAGGATATCTTTGGCGAGGATGATGATGTGTGGAATGGCCGAAGGGTCCTTCGATTGCAGCAGTAAACATGTCGTGCTTGTATTGGTAGTCTGCCATGCTTAGAAGTCAACGACACCCCAATCGCCCGAGGCTGTGGTTGTTGGGCTGCCGTACGAGCAGTCCTGAAAGATCCTGAGTCGCCTATGGCTTGGGCTTTTGTCCGACACCTCTGATGTCTGCTCTCGCTAGGCACCACGAACTAGCTTCCGGGGGGACGAGTGTGAGCTTGGTCGCACAGTTTCATAATTGAAAGAGTGCATAAACATGTCCCGCTATCATGTTGCAATTGTGGGTGCAACACACTGCCTCATAGAGGAAGTATGATCGTGGCACAGAGTGCAGCTGTCTTAAGGAAAAAGACTGACAAGTCATTGCTGATGCTGGCTGCTCATGACAACCAGTGATTCTCACGCCTGCACAAGTCTTTCGACCGAGTCTCTCGAGATAAAGCTTTGCCAACCCGGGATCCACAGGTACGATGCCAGTGTTCAAGGGCTTCCTGCAGCACGGCCTCGCCGAGGTGAGTCGAGCTGCCTCGATTCTGCATCTGGGTTGAGGTTACTCCTAGATTAGGGCACAGGGTGGTCGGGTTGCTTGGCTTTGCATTTGCCTCTTTGAGACTGCCGGCTGTGAGTTGGTTCGTCTTGGGTATTAGCAGGAACTGGATCTTACGGCTGAGGTTCGGGTCCTATAATATGGATTTATTTAAAATCCTGAAGTCAAAGCCTCATCCGATATCTTTACCACAAGAACCCGAATCCTGAAGCCTCTTGCTTACAAAACAACAACACAAACAATCGCCAGGAACATCGCCTGCTTTGATTCGAGGCAATAACAAACCCTAGGCCATTGTACTAAGAGACAAACTCTGTAGGGTTTAGGGCTAGGTTTAGTTAGGGTTTAGGGATGGGGTTTCTGTGACCGCCTGGCCTTCAAATTTTTTCGAAAATTTAGAGGCTGGGGTGGGGTTTAGGGTTCGGGTTAGGTTCTCAGTTTAGGGTTTAGGGTTAGGGTTTAGGGGTGGGGTTTAGGTTTGACGGCATAGGGTTAGGGTTTAGGCTTAGGGTTTAGGGGTGGGGGTTAAGTAGTAGCAACCATAATAATTGTACTTGTCCTAAATCCTAAACCCTAACCCGGAACCCCAACCTAAACCCAAAACCCCGAAACCCCTAAAGACCTAAAACCCTGAAGCCTTACACCCTAAACCGTATACCCCTGCACTCTAAGCCCCTAAACCCTAAACCCCAAACCCCAAACCCTAAACCCTAAACCCCTAAACCCCAAACCTTAAACCTGGTACTGCACTAGGAGTACCCTAGAATGCCACGTCGACGATGTCGAGTCGAGGCACCATCCTCTGCCAAGCTGGGATTTAGAGGGCTTGCTGGGTTTGATTGGGTCGTGCTTGTGCACCCGAAACTTAGGGCCTGTCTGGATCTCCC